ATATCTCTTTGATTCATCTAGTACTGCTTTGAATGTGATAGGCTCAGTTTCGGCCAGAGTTGTCAATACCCTCCTCGATAACATCATATCCCCGGTCCTAACTCCATTAATAAAATGAGCATATGGCATGTTATACTCTCGAGTGGCAGCATTAAGACGGGCTATCCAATGGCAACGATGTATCCTTGATCTCTTCTGTCGAGCGATATAACTCCTCATTAAATCATGCATCACTCGACCTATAGCCAATCTAAAGCACTTCTTGCTACGACCATAGCTTCCTCTAGCCTAACAACATAACGATAATCTAAAGCCATCCCATGCCTTACCATAGCAAAGACCATCTCACGAGGTATCCTCGTCATAGCTATCGGTGATATACATAACATTTAAAATGATTCACCTCAAGTCTAGGCATCCCTCCCCATCATATCATATGTAGTGTTATAATACTACGCCAACACAAGTCCCCAAAGGGGTTGCATTGAAACAAGCATCGTTGGGGGTGAGTCAGCCGTCCCCTAATGACGTAACTGATCGTTTAGCGGCTGGTGGCATCTCTTCAGTGACCTCCTCAACAGCTGCCTCAACCGTATTCATGAGCTCAGCGATTGACCGCATCCTTTTGATACCACCAAAGCGGCGGCCGCCGCTTCCGATTGGTGAGTCATATGCCTTTAGAGTTTCGACTTCACCATTAAGGATGGCAGATGTGTCCTCCTTCTTTCGCTTCAAACAGGCATACACCGCTTCATCTGGAGAGCCTCTAGCTATTAGGTAATGTATATCCACACAACTGAGGTGAGGATCGCCATACATACCCTCAGATGGGATATTACCTCTTAGTTTGGCCAATTCGATGCACTCGTGCCTCAGCCTGCTCGATGGTGCCAGGTACCCAATAGAGCTCAGCAAAGACTACTACACTAGCAGCAGTCAATGTCAATCCTTCAGAGCAAGCAGTGATGGACAGGACAGCTGAGGCAATACCCTCTTCACTGATGTTAACAACAACAACAATCCTTACCAACTCTGATGTCATCGTCCTCCTGGAACTTCTTTACTAATTCTGGTCGCTTGGTCTGTGGAGTCTGCCCATCTATACGTATTAGCCTGCAACAGCATGGTTCAGGTGTAAGATGAGCAGCAGCAGCAGCAGTAGCCATCCCACCCGAAGTTCTTCCCAGCTGAGCTCCCCTTTATATGTAGGATCCCTTCAACTTTCTCCTCAAGCTTATCGAGCATACTACGATGATGAGCGAAGACAAGCATCTTACAATCGTTGTCAAGTAGATAATCGAGATAGTCCTATAACGACTCATCAACATTATCATATAGCCGACCGCTGGTCCAACCTTGACAGCCCCTATTTTAGCCTCGCCAGTTTTCCTCCATATTTCGAGGAATCCTTGAGACCTCTGGCGCCCATCACCATTCATAAGGCTCTCTCTACTCAACTCTCTCATAGTCTTCTGAGCTTGCTGCACCTCCGCCAAAACCTTTTGGGATTTGCCGTCTGTGATGTCTAAAGGGACTTTAATTCTATTTTTTTCAGGTAGTTCCTTCAACACATCCTTCTTTAATCGTCGTATCATTATCGTATCTATTATCCCACTAACATCAGTGGACAAGCTTATGCCTACTTGTGAGCAGATTATAAAGTTCCTCTTTGTTTTTGGCCCCAACCCACTTGTTGACAAGTCGTCCTAAACGAAAATGGTTGGAACTACGACCACACCCATTGCGGCGCCGCCGCCGCCGCCGGCCGCGATGATGATGATGATACTCACCTCTGCCTATGTGCTGCTGTTCCTTTATACAGTAGCGATTATGGAATTTACTCTCACTAGGAAAGTTCTCTGATAAAAGACGCGATACATGATAGCGATAATGGCACTGTCCTTACTAAGAAGACAGTAAAGGATATTGTAGA